GCCGGTAAACGTTTACTTGGTAATCTTATCGGATCGGCATTGGGCCGAGCTGATACGTAGGATGCGGGGATGCATCATGCTGTTTGCATCGGCCTTCAGCCGGGCCGATGCTAACGTCAGCCTTGGGTATGGTCCAGTTCGCATGGGTGTCTGACGGAACGACACATGTTGGTCAACGTGACCGATAGGGTCCTCCCGGTACACAAGCCCCCCAGCCTTGAGGAGTGAAGCGACGTAAAGGATAAATGTAAAGGGAAATAGGGTACTTTGGCTGCTATTTTGGAGGGAAGGCCAAGGGTTACAATCATTGGTGGGAAACGAAGGGTTGTAACGATCTCGGCTCAGAGTAAGTGTTAAGTGTGTATCTTTGGGGACCACCCCCCATACACCTATTTATAGGCGTTTCTCGTAAGTATCTGAAGAGACGCCCTCCTATGCACCGTTGGATCATTTCGATCCAACGGTCCACGATGTGCATAATGATATGAATTGAAGCACTAAATTACGGCTCATCAGTAACTGACTCAGGGGTTTTCTCCGAGGCAGACATACCACTCGTCCAATTCTCCAAGACATCAAAGATATTATCAACTTCGATGTCATCATTAAAAAAGCTGATCAAGTCTAAATTAGCAGAAGGAATTGAAACAGGAGGTGGCATGGAAGATTCGACGCCACCTTGGTTGGATGGTGAAGGAGTAAGAGGCCTTGGAGATATAGGACCAATCGAGTCTACACATAAAAAGAGACACAGTCATTCTTATTTTTTTATAATAATCAATAGAAGTTGTCAAAGAGGTAAAGGAAACATACCATGACCAGGACTAATGGGAGGTTTAAGCTCAAAAAATGGAGCTTCATCTTGAGAGGATTGGTGAGGAGTTTCAGTATTCACAGTTGGTTATGACAGAAGAACATCACCTTGAGCATTCTGAGGAGTATTGGCGACGCCCATAGTAACATCTGTCAAAGGAATATTGACAATGTTTAACTGAGGAGTAACCAACTGCAAAAAGGGCAAATCAAATACGGAAATAAAACACAGAGAAAGAAAAATCAATGAAGAACTCCAAACCTCTGGAGGACCCTCAGTTGAAAGTGGAATATCTTTAGAAGCGTCTCAAGAGGAGGAGATATGAATTATATCAACATCCTGTGATTAAAGAAGTATTTGTAAAGCAATCGAATGAACAGGATAGACTAGAGGAAGTGGAAATTGTGCTAAAAGCCAAATACTTTGGGGATAGATTTCATCGTATCTTTTAAAAGTTTTTCGACATTCGGCATTGGGTTCAGTTTAGTAGCATAAGTTTGTTTTCCTTTCCCCTTATCAAGTTTTCTTGTTGTCGAAACCTGAAGGAATAGAAAGACAAGTAAGGAATAGAGAGAAAGATGAGTAAAGGGAAAACATGAAGAGGACAAGAAAACATGAAAAGGAAAAATATAAGATACTTACAATCTTGCCACTTGTCGAATCAGCCTTGGTTCTTTGTTTTTTAGAGGTCTCGAAACCGGGAAAGAGGTATTAAGAAAGATTTTTTCTATGTTAAGTAAAGTGGATTAGAAATTATACCTTGTTGTAAGGAAATTTTATTAGAAACAGTCTTCCTTTTTCGAGTTTTTAATGAAGAACCATCGTCATCATCATCCTCACTTTCCCATTGGGGGGTCTCATCAAGGTGTTGAGGAACACGTTGAGGGACAACAACTATGCAAGATAGAAATAAGGATCAAATATTGACAAGGAAGATAACATTAAGGGTGTTTGTTACAGACATCTACCAGCTGGTGGAAGGTTGCGGTTATCGACCCAACATAAAGGCCACCATCTCTCTCGAGGAAAATCGTACACGGAACATCTCGCATAAGTAACTCGATCTTTTACATAAATTTTTTTGCGTTCGAGGTAAAAAGGATCGAGAGTCTTCACCCAAGGAGGGTAAGATAAATGTTTAACTAGACCAAAACGAGTATTAGGGAGAAGAGGAATATTTTTGGGACAAAATTTTTTAAAATTTGTTTTCCCTCGAGGGTTGATAGTTTTCTTTGAGCGAATGTTCCTTTGTATCATTTTCGATAAAGAGACAGAAGCATCAAAAATGGTTCGACCAAGATTGTCGGGTCGATAAAAAACTTTAAAAAATTGCTCGAATTGATAAATAATATTACGATTCTTGTAAGTACCTGGTAGTTTTGGGCCCTGCGAAGAAAGAGAAGAATTAATCAGCTTCTTTAGAAAATCATCGAAGGTGAACATTTTGTCAACATAATATTCACACCACCAACGAAGAAAGCACATTGACACTATAAAAGAAGTAGAGAAGGTGCAGGGAGTAAGGGAAAGTTGTTTGTCATGACGTAAGATAAAATCCAAGACATCTTTATAATCTCCTTTCTCGATACAAATATCAACATCTATTCTTTCTTTACGACAAAATGGAAGAGGCTTCATTTGGCAGAGACCAAATTGTCGAGCAAATAGTTGGGGTTGGTAAGGGTAGATCCTAACATCTTTTTGTCGCATCCTAGACAAAATAACATCCCATGATAAAAAACCAAACCACATATCAACAGAATCTGGAGAAATACTTCCAACTTGGTTGTTTTCCCGAAGCCAAGAAGGCCCTGTTAAATTGGAACGAATAAAAAGAGCCAAATCTTCAGTGAACTCACTGAAACTAAGGAATGCTTGAATATATTTGGCAAAATTCTTGATTGAGCGCTTTCGAGGTGTAAGGGTGGTTAAACGAGCCCCTTCAAGTTGACACATCGGAGAAAGAAAAGATGAAGTTAGCAAGAGTTTTTTTCTCCAGAATTGCATTAAGCCACAATTGTAACAACCATAGTGGCCCAGAAAGATTACGAGGACCAGATTCACGAAAAAGACTCTCTGAAGCTTCGTCGAGGGAAGAGTATAAAGAGGCCAACAATAATTTACTCAAACAAATCTTCTTTTGTCAGTGTAAATCTTGGGCCAAAACGTAATAGTACTTAGGAACTTGAAGAGAAGGAGTGCAGAAAACACAAGCAGATAGCCAATACATCAAAAAGGCAATATGCTCTGAAGTCGAAACGAGGGTATCCAATTTACCCATGTGCGCGTTGATGAAGGCCAGGTAAGTCTTTTTATCCCAAGAAATAGAAGTTTCTTTTATAGAAATCTCTTCCTCGAGTGCATCTGGATAAAACTTATCCCCTATAGGTGCTAAACCAGTAATAGCAACAATATCTAACAAAGTGGGACATACGAAACCACACGGAAATTCAAAATCTCTAGTCTCTCTATTCCAAAAGAAGATTGCAGAGAGGAGCATTTGAGGATAAAAAATATTCAAGTCAAATTTAGAAAGTTGAATGAACTCAGATATGCCAGCACCTACCCATACAGAATGCATTGAACGCTCTACGCGTTCTAACCATTGCAAGTGCCTATCTTTAGTGGGTGGGAACGCACTAAAAATTTTAGTGGTATCACTAAACAAGTTCAAATCTATCATGGGAGAGTAAATAAAAGGCAAGGTATAAGAATCTTCAGGGAGTAATGTATTACCAAACTTTTTTCTATTCTGACCCATGAACGGACCTAGAAAAGCATGGATAGTACCATCTTGAAGAGAGAAAGGGAGGAGTACCTGTGAATGAAAGATCTTGAGATTTTTTTCTTCCATGCCTGGAATAGGAACGAAACTCTCATCACCATCCTTCACAGTACAGGTAGTAGCATTGGACATTAGTAAAGGAAGAGATTGTGTGGATGAGGTAGAGACTAATGTAGGAGAAAGACCAGAAGCAGTGGCTGAAGTGGAAGCAGCGGAGGAAGCCATGGTAGCACTGAAGAACAAGAAGGGTAAAGAAAGCAAGAACGAAGAAGAATGAAGAACCCTTGTGCACAATGAAAACGGTAAAAATGATTTTACCCTAGGTGAAATCTTTTAAACAAGTCAAATGGGCCTAAGCGTAAATTGGGCCAACAGACCAAGCTATCAAGTCAGCCGCCAAAACAGTTCAAATCAAACGGACCAAAAACCTAAGGAAAAGTGAGCATGCGCCGTCAAAATTGATGAGGGAGTAGTAAAATTTAAATGAAACACTAACCGCATTTAAGAGATGCTCAGAATAGGGTTTCATCGAACAGAAGTAAGAAGCTTTAGCCTTTTAGACCTAGAGTTGAAAGAAGGATTTTTTGAAAGGTGAAGAGATAAATAGGAATTTAGTTCTAACTCGATTTAACATACTTCTCGAAACTAAATTCCTAGGGGGGAATCTGTTGGGGGCACTTGAAACAAATTCTCTCGAAATCTACTCGAAAAAACAAATGGGAATACATGTCCTACAGATAAAGATCGAGCTAGACGAAAAGAACGTGGGTGTTCGAGGGTAGGTCGAGTAGTTCTAATAAAGGTTGCTTGAGCAGTTTGGGACAGTTACACTTAGGCAGTTACTAAGCCTAGTCAAAGAAATAAAGAAACATGGGATGAACGGTTACGAGAGTTTACATGTAAGCCACATAATTAGCGTAGTGGATAGCGGTTACGCGCCCACGATGAACTTGCACAAAATTAATTGCTCTCGACTGGTTCTATAAATATGAGAAGCATGCTACTTCACAGAGGTCAGAAAAAATCATACTTACACTCTCAAGCACTCACCGCCTGTGCATATGGCTTTCGTGCATGGAATTGCTGGGTATGACAACTTCTTGGCCATATTTTCTTTCTTTTCCTAGGATTAGTGTAGTTTCGTTTAAATTTCGTAGTTTGTAGTTCATTTAATCATGATATTGTAACTTGATAATTATGTGAATTGGACAATGATTTGTATTGCTAATATATTAATTGTTCATTCCGTTCATCTGAGTGTCTATATGCATGAAAATTGTTGTTTGATAATTGTTTATGAAAATCTGGAAACAGATGCTTATTAGTCACTTTGTCTCGTCTATCTACGTTCTTAAGAGAGTTTAATTGTAAAATACCTAAATTGAAACAATTTCGTGCTAGTTCAAATAAAAAGAACTCGTAAACGAATTCCACCATAATCATGTATGTTAGAGAATGTGTTACTAACTCTCCTTAAAGGATTTACTATATAGAGGTTTCATACACTTGAGTTCCTCACCTTGGTGGCTCCAATCTTGTTTGTTGAGAAGGAGGATGGATCCTGGTGTGTAGATTATCAACAATCTAGTTTGAAATAGTTGTTTTAAGAATAAAAATAAAAATAAAAAATTCACTGCTTCCTCTACAAAACATATTTTCAAATTTGCTACGAAGAGGGAAGATCAAATCCTAGAAACCAACTCATAATGGTCTCCAATTCTTCACACTTTTGCTCAGTGGAGAAGGCATACTAGCAGACCAAGATTCCAGATCAGGCAAAGGTCCTGTAAGTGCCATAAAATTTTCACCATTTTTCTTTGGCATTCTCTTCCAACATAGCTGAGAAATTCAAAAATACAAACTGTAAGCATCCTTATATATGACATTATAAAATTACAGAGAATATAGGATGTTAAACTGACATCAATACAACAAGTATTCATAAAAGAAAGATAAATTTTCAATGCAATACCTAATTGTTTAAATTGGAAATTTCAAAAGGATCCAATAATAAAGATCATGACCAATACAACTTCAGCATCGCTGCTGCTTTATTTTTTTTATCTTGAAATCCCATGATTAATTGCATCTTTTGCTCCCAAAGTTACATAATATCCCAAATTTTGTCCCTAGAGAATCTCTTTTGTGAATTGTGCCCCAATTTATAAAATATCATAAATTTTGTCTTCACATAAAAAATTGTGAGGTTTAAAGGAAAAATTGTCACAAAGTTGTCTTAATTGTAATGGCTAAAAGAAAAAATAGCCACAAAATTGTATTCATGGTGGCAGTTTTCCACATGATGGCAAAATTTGCGATGTTTTGTAAATTAGGGGGCAAGCTTTGCGGTAAAAAATAAATCTTTGGGAGCAAAATTTGTGAGATTGTGAAACTTTGGAGGTAAATATTGCGACTAAGCTTAAATAAATTTGTAAATATTTGAATTTCAAAAAAAAATCATTTTTCCATTTTATACAATTGATAGGTACACTGAACTTCAATTGAGGAGTCACATTTCAAATCATGCATAACCAGATTACAACAGAAATGCAAGTATTTGATAGCAAATATCTGTCTTGTTTGTATTAGTGTAACTTAATCTCCTCATAATATAAAGTTCTGAGGCACAAAGAACCCTTGATAGTTGATATCCTATCACCATCTAAATGCAGTACTATTTTGTGGACCATGCATCATAATTGTACCGGGAGGACCCTATCGGTCACGTTGACCAACACGTGCCGTTCCGTCAAACACCCATGCGAACTGGACCATACCCAAGGCTGACGTTAGCATCGGCCCGACTGAAGGCCGATGCAAACAGCATGATGCATCCCCGCATCCTACGTATCGGCTCGGCCCAATGCCGATCCGATAAGATTACCAAGTAAACGTTTACCAGCCCGGTCAACAGTCGAAGACATGCAACCTCCCAAGCATTAGCCTGTCGGCTCGGCAATGTGCCGATAGGTTAAACGGGTTA